ATGACTTGGGTGAAGAATTCATGGTATAAAATCATTAACAGCTGTGTTGCCAATGTACTGCGAGTGGGCTACATGGACAAGAAGTGCTTATTTAAGGAGAGCTCTGTTGCTGGATCCGAGACATTGGGGCCCGTAGTTCTACAGGAAATGGAGTCGTAAGAAATTCAGGCTGGAATCTGGAGTTTAGAGAGTTGTGACAATGTTCCAGAAGAAGATGACATGACTGTATTTGAATAAAATGTAAATTTTTGTACATGAATAAATTTAGATTGTTGTACATGAAAAAAATAAGGCATTCCCTGAAAATAAGCCCTATTGGCCTTTTGGAGCAAAATTTAACATACAGTCTGGTCTTATTTGGGGGGAAATATGGTACTGAAAAAAAGGCATAAAGGAGTAAAAACATTTTATCTGGAGGAACAAAGACAAGACTCACATTGACTTCTCAGCAGACACATGTAGGGTAAAATATTTGATGCTGAAATAAAACCCTTACCAACCTAGAACTCTGTATTCTGTGAAATTCAATCAAAAATGAAGGAAAAATAAAGATTTTTCTCAGGTATACAAAAACTGAAGTGATATCTTGATATATTGCCATTAGACTAGTTGTGCAAAACATTTAATAAAGTACAGTGGTTCCTTGGTTCATGAGCTCAATTCATTCCATGATTCTGGTCATGAACTAAATCAAAATATCTCATAAGTGTCAATGTAGATAAGGTTAATTTGTTCAGACACTTACAAATATGATTGTGAACTGATTTTAGTCACAAACAGAATCAAATTTTTCTATAAGGTTCAATGTAAATAAGGGTAATCCACCTGAAACATATGTATTTTTTTAACCGCAAAAATATGAAACAGGGGGGTAGAGTGGGCGACCCAGGACCCTGCTGCCATTACAGACCGAGTCTCTGCCCTCCATGCACCTGCGGCAGGCAGGAGGTCCTCAGTCAGAAGCCCCAGGGACTGCTCTGGCTGGGGGGGGTGTGTGCGTGTGGCCCCTGCTTGCACCATTTTGTATTGTACTCTGAGGCCAGATCAGTCACACACATATGCCGCTCATGCTTTTCTACAATTTTCTCCATTCAGTGGTTTTAAAAATATCTTACCATTCTTGCTCTGCATGTTCTTGTTGCTTTCATTACTGCTCTGCACTTTTTGGAGCCATGTTGGATTGAATAGTACTATACAGTACCGTATGTGCTAAAAAGCACACAAAAAAAGCTTCACAGCAAGTGAACAGAGGTCTGTGACTGCAGTCTTGAGTACAGGAAGCCACCACCACATGGCAGGGCAGAGAAGTTGGTTGCATTCGTGTTTGTGCAAGGAAGATGACCATAGCTGCTTGTCACCTGATGTGGAGTTCGAAAATGGAAACAACTCTCTACTGTACTGTACTTTGGAGAGAAGGAAAAAATGATACAAGTCAGAAATGCAAGATCTGGATAGAGAAAGGATAAGTGCTGGAGAAGCTATAAGTGAAGTAAAAGAAAAACCAGTACAACACAGGCAAATGCAACAGGATGAATCATAAATCAACTGGACATATACAGACTACCTAATCCCATTGACCAAGATGAACCTCACTCTGGGCCATAAAGCACATTTTAATTTAAAAGAACAGAAATAATGCAACATCTGCTCTCAGACCATAATGGAATTAAGACAGAAACCAGTACGAGAAGGATAACTTGGAAATTAGAAGGGCAACCCAGCTCTGAGAGACAAGGTGAAAATTCACCTTTCCACCATCTTTTTGTTCCATTTTGGCCCCCAGGTGGATGGTGCTCACTTACATGAGAGTGCATAATTCCCACTCAGTGCACCAGCTTATACCCCAATCTCTGCTGTAAATACCCTCAGAGACACACTAAATTACCTCAATTAAAAACAAAACCACCTGGGCTTCCCTTTCAGCCAAAGACGGGTGGCCTCCTACTGATGCCTTGAGGGTAATACTGTTCCAGTTATTTGAGTAACTCCAGTCCAGTCGAACTTACACTCCAAATCAACCACCATGTGAGATATATCTTAGGTAAACAAGATTGGCTCAACATTCAGAAATCAGTTCATGTGATCTACCATACCAACTGGCTAAAGATAAAAAACCACATGATCACATGGAGAGATGCAGAAAAAGCAAATGACAAAATCCAATAGTCATTAAAACAGAAACACTAAATCTACTGGAAAAGAAAGTAGGTAGGGATCTTAAAGACATAGGTGTAGGTAGAGAGTTCATGAACAAAACCCAGACTGCACAGGAAATACTTCAAAGAATCAACAACTGGAATCTCATCTTATTAAATAGCTTTTTTACAGCAAAAGAAATCACCAACAGAGTGAAGACAATGCATACCGTGGGAAAAAATTTTAGCCAATTGTCCCTCAAACAAAGGACTTCTATATAGAACATATAAAGAATTAAAAAAAAAAATCTGGCCCCTAATTCAAAGACCAAATGCAAAAATGGGCATCTGAGATGAACACACACTTCTCAGATGAAGAAATACAAATGGCACATATGAAAAAATGTTCAACATCGTTAGTCATTCAAGAGATGCAAATTAAAACGCTGAGATTCTACCTCACCCCAGAAAGAATGGCTATCATCAAGAAATCAACGAATAGCAAATACTGGAGGGGCTGTGGGGAAAGAGGAACCCTTGTCCACTGTTGGTGGGAGTGTAGACTGGTAAAATCACTGTGCAAATCGGTGTGGAGATTCCTCAAAAAACTAGGACTAGAAGTCCCATTTGACCCAGCTATTCCCTTTCTGGGTATCTTACCAGAAGAATTAAAAACATTATAGCACATGATAATATGTGCACAATTTGCAATAGATAATTTTGTTTTGAGAGGGGGTATTGGGAATCAAACTCAGGACCCCACACTTGCCAGGCAGGCCCTGTGCCACTGAGCTAAACCCCTGGTCCTGTAATAGGTAAATCTTGGAAACAACCCAATGCCCATCAACCAAGGAATACATAAAGATGTGGTATTTTTATACAATGGAGTACTACTCAGCCATAAGGATAAACATGAGACTTTTATAGGTAAATGGATGCAACGTGAGACCATACCTATAAGTGAAATAAATCAGACTCACATATGTAAACATCATATTGTCTCCCTGGTGTGAGAAACTGAGAGAGTAAATAAAGTCTAAAATATACAATAGATATTGTGAAATGGAAAAAAATTGTTCAAAAGGAAAAAGGAACTAGGATGAGAAAAAAAGGAAAAGGACAGTAAGGAAAAGAGAAAAAACGCAAGTCAGTTATATTATTAGTGTCACTTAGCTCGTTAAAAAGGAAGGTTTGTGCTAATATTGATTGGAGAAATTTTTATGCCCATGTCTTATATCCTGAGCAACTACTTTAAAGATAACATGTAATGTATTAACTATTGTTACCCTATTATTTTATGAAATTGCTTTACCTTTTTTCACAAAAATAAAAACATATTGCAGTAAATGACACACTGCCATTAATCCTTCTCAAAATACTTTTCACTTCCAACACATTTATCCCATCATTCTTACCACGTTCTGAAGTTCTAGAACTCCTTCTTCATATCTTTACAAGGTATGGTAAAAAATATGGTGAATGCTGTTGCCAGATGCCAATCAGTGGAATGGTAAGTTCACAAAAATATGGCATGTCCTCATCCACCTCACTCACTGGATCTGGCACAATACAACTTCTGGCTCTTCCCCAAATGGCCGTGAAAAGTAAACGTTTAGAACTAATTTGGGATCAAGGCAGCCACAGAAAGACACTCATGAAAAGTGTACTTCAAGAATTGCTTCACAAAGTGGCAAGGATGATGGGATGTGTTGAAACTATGGGGAGTACATTTTGAGGGAGATCATGTGTCAAACTTCTAAACAATTTAAACATTCAGCATGTTTTTCAATTTTACCATGTATAAAATAGGCAAGGATGTGCACATACTTCATCAAAGATACAGAGATGGCAAATAATCATATGGAAAGGTGCTCCCCATCTTACGTGTATGTCACCAGGGAGATGCAAATTAAAACATGATGCCACTATTCACCCGCTGGTATGGCCACAACTCCAGCCCCTGACAGATGCTGTTGGGATGTGGAGCAACAGGAACTCTCACTCTGTACTGGTGGGAACACAAAAGAACAGCCAGTTTGGAAGGCCGTCTGGCAGTTTCTTCTAAGTCTAAACATACTCAGCATATGATCCTGCAGTTCTACACCTTGGCATTTATCACAAAATCTACATACGGATGTTTACAGCAGCTTTTTTTCATAATTGCCCAAACATGGACACAACCAAGATGTCCTTTAGGAGATGAATGGGTAAGTGAACTGGATGGAATATTAGCACTAGAATGCGTTATCCTGCCAGGAAAGGACATGGGAGAAACTTAGGTGCATGTTAGTAGGTGAAAAAAGCTCATCTTGAAATACACATTTATGATACCAAATGCACGACTTTCTGGAAAGGACAAAACTATAAGGACAGTAAAAAGATGAGTGGTTTTCAAGGGCTAGGAGTCAGGGACATATGAGTGGGAGAGAGTATTTTTTTAGGCGGTGAAATGATACGGTACGATACTGCAATGGTGGGTACTTTACACACGTCAAAACCCAAGCTGCATGACTCCTAGACCCAGCGTGGGAGCCTGCAAAGGTCCCATGGCCCTGCCAAGCATCTGCACGGACAGCAGTGTGCTAGAAGATTAGCACTTAGGATTGTTCTGAAAATTTAGCATGAAAAGCTCTGGGTATGAAACCTACTCTGTTACATGAAATGTCAATATTCCATTCCTTAAACAAGAAAACAGAGAATATTCCATTCAACTTCAGCTACATATTTTCAAGTTTTGGATATAATCTATAAAATTCATTACCTATTTATGTAGTTCTCTTGTGAGATTCTTAATCGCAAATTTCTTTCCAGCCACTTTCTACCTGACACAGAAGTTACACTCACGAAGCAAGTTCAGGCTTCCTATTATTTTTGCTTAAAAAGATTTTATTTGGAATAGCTGCACAAATATTCAACATTTAACATTTCCTCCAAAATTCAGGAGCTCTTTGCCTAACACAGAGAACATTCTGTGCACTTTGGCCACACAGCCATTCCAGTGCCATGTGCAGAACTTCTGTGGCCCCTCGGTCCATCACGTGTGCAGGAGCTGTAGGAAGGGGAGGGTTGGTGTCCCTGAGGTCAAGGAACTACTGCGCAGATGGCCATGGGTCATGGGAAAATACAGCTAGTCCTGTCTGAGGCAGGACTGCAGATGGCCTGGCTCTCCCAACATCTAGCCTCCCACCATCCAGCCATTCCCCTAGATGCTGGGTAAAGTGACCCAAACAGGCAGGTAGGGAGTCAGTGTTCAGCGACTGGTGTGGATGTGCCCCATGCTGGGTCCTACCTCAAACACGAGGGCAGAGGCTGCAGAACAGATGTGTACCAGGGGACCTAGTCAACCCCTCCTATCTCCAGCACGTGTGACATTCCCACTGCTATGTGCAGGAGGGAAGACCCTGCCTCCTCCTGCAGCTGCCTCTTCACTCACAAAAGACTTTTGTTCAGTGGGGACTTGTAAGGGCAGACATATATCACTAACATCATCAAGGACACCACTGACCAGATGACTGGATCAGGTGGGCCACTGTGAGGGGCCGTGCCCAAGCCCTGCATGGCAGTAGGCAGCGGTGGCCATGTCCATCTCAGGTGTGGGGTCCTCTGATTGCTGCCCCACACATGGGCCCCTTTGGTGGGCCTCAGCCCTCTTCCTCCCATCTTTGCCACCCCTGCATTCCATCAGTGTTTCTATTCTGTGTTAGGGGAGAGCCCCAGAGTACAACTGGGCCTCTTACAAAGTAGGGGATTCACCCAAGAACAGGACAAGGAGTTCTCCAAGCGCCTGGCAGGGATGCAGCCGCCATCTCACTGTGGTGAACCAATGTCCAGCTTCAGAAGCCCGCAGCCGGAGCCATGCTGCACACAAAGGGCCTGAGTTCTCTGCAAGCAACAGCACTGAGGAGGCCGAAGAGCCATGAGCCCTCCAGGGCTGTACAAAGGAGAAAAGCCCTGTCCCTGACCCCCACTGTCCACACACCTTTCTTTCTTGCCCATTTTGTACCTCTGTAAATTAAACTGCAAGAAACTTTGCTTCCTTTGGAATACAATTTGTAAACCTGCCACTCTGGGCAGTGGCCACTTGAGACAGCCCCTGGTCATCATGAGTCTTTGTCAGAGCCCTGCCAGAGGCCAGGGGTAAAGCTGCCTGACCGTGGCTCTGTGGGTCCTTCATCCATAACAGAAATGGTCATTCCAGCTGGCAAGTTGTGACCGGCCTGCCTTTCTTCAAATTGCACTGCCAACACTTTGCAGTTACTGGATTGCACATTTGGCACCTCCAGCTTCTCTGTCTGCTGCAGGAACCTCCTGAGCTGACTCAGCCTGGCCCTGTGGTCCCGAGAGCTGCATCTTGCCAACGGAGATGGCTTCCATCACTTCCCCTGTCAAGCTGTGGGCAGAGCCAATGTTCTTGAGAGAAGGTGGGACTAAAGGGAGTGGACCCTCTACCTGTGACAAGGGCAAGCTAACCAGGAGATGCACAGGCCACAGAGAAGGGACGCTAGACAGCCAACAGTCCAGGACCTGCAGTTCTTGGGGCTGACATCCCTGACGAGCATCTTTAAGATGAGCGGGTGATTCAGCACCCAATCTGAGCAAGTGCGCCTTGCCTACATCCACTTATACCTAGAACTCTGTCCACATCTCAGAAAATCGAGTCAATACAAGTTCACTGGAGTTATAATTCTGTTACTTGCAGAGAAGGGGGCAAGTAATATGTAGCCTTAGCTAACATTTCACTTTTAATTTGGTAATTAACCCATGTGACATGAATGATTTACTGTACTCTGCCTTACAGTTGGCTGAAGTACCAGACTCGTGATTCTCCTACACAGGAGAGGCCTAGGTCGTTGGCCATGGCTCCAAGAATGCACGTGGACTCTGAACTTCTTCCACAGTCCAAAGCTTAGCAGGGATCAGGCTCTGAAAAGGTGGTGGGTGCCACGAAAGCCGCTCTGCCCAAGTTCTCAGAGCATGACATGAAGACAGAGCCCATCACGTTCTTGGTTGTTCCTCATGGGGTCTACGTGCCAGGGCCTGACTGACCTTAGTGGCAACCACAGGAGCAAGGATCTGCTGTGTGTGTGGCAGGATGAACCAACTCTCCAACTGTAGGCAGTGCCAGGGTCAGAGCTGTCTCTTTCCTCAGGTGGCTCAGAGTCAACTTTTTGTTACTCTAATAATGAGAGGTAACAATGACCCTTGGTATTCTGAATGTTTCGGTACCATCTTTAAAAAAATTTCCCCCATATAACAGTAACAGCCTTGGAGGGGCTTAAGAGAATGAGAGTTCAAAAATCTGATGGGGAACAGGGTTGGTACAGGACCTTAGACTGATAAGTAAAGCAATAGTGACAATCCACCCGGTGGTACCTAACCAATACACTTGCCTTTCTCAGATCCTGGAAGATGCCAGCTGGTTTTCAGTGTTAGGTTGAAAGATGCTTTCTTTTACAACTACCTGCTCTGTTTAGACTTCTAAGGCCCTTGCAACTCTTCAACAGCTCCTTAGTGTGCTACATTTTCTGTACTCTGAATTCTGACAAGAAATTGGCTAACAGATGGTCCTCCCATTCCCAGAAGGACATCCAGCAGACAAGCAGAGAAGCTTGGAGAAAGGGGCCCACTAATTTCCGCACTGCACCCCAAGAGGAGAGTGTAAAAAAGGGACTTTTATTCAATGAAAGAAGAATCTGTTTTATGGGTCAAATATGAAATAGATATACAAAGTTTCCAGCAGATGTCTCAAGGAAGTACAAGGCCAGCCAAGAAAAGGGAAGCCTCCGCTCCCTTTATCACAACCTCCATGGTGGGAGGACATGGCTGCTGGCAGCCCAGGCTTCAGAAAGGGCCCGTGCTGAAGGCCCAGGTCACCTGTGGGTTCTCTGTGGGACATGGAGTCAGCTGGCTGCTTGCAGGCTGTCTGTAGCGTCTTGCTGCTTTGTACACATGTACACTGCTGTTTCATTTAAAATCCTTCGAAATTCTTCAGCTTCAGCTGTGAAAAAGCACAAGATGCCAGGTTCTTGCTATGTCATTCTCTAAGTCTTATTGGCTCTCCCAGAGTCTTCATCCTAAGTAATATATTGTGGTTATTTAAAGGGACCCATCCCTTTCCAAGGAAAAAACCTTTACTATGTGACAAGAAACCACAAAGATCCAGTTCAACTACATGCAAGGCCCTGCTGAGCTCTTTGGCATAGTACACCGGTTCCCATAATGCTGTCCCTTAAAAAAGTAGACTTTCCTATAATAAAACCTCTTAAAAACACCTGTTTCTGCAAAATAATGTGTTTCTGCAGGTGGAGCTCTGGAAAATACAAGTCTTCATGGAGAAAAGGGACTGAGGGCTGGCACAGAGCACGTGAGATGGGCACGAAGTCACATGAAGTCATTCAGCTCTGCTTCCAGCGCTGCTGCCATCTCATCTGCCTCAGAGCTGCTGCCCTCCTCATCCTCATTGCTGGACTCCTTGCTGGACTCACTGGCAGCATCCTCGTCATTCAGTTTTCTCTTGTGGCCTCTAAAGAGAGAAAAGAAGCAAAACTGCCGTGAAACACTGGTAGCGGGGCAGCAAATATGTAGGACACTGCTGTTGCTTTATGATCTGCATTTGCAAAGGGGCCTCTGTGGTCTCAGGGCAAGAGATCCCTATGATCCTGAGCCAGGAACACATGCACAGCCACTGGCCATGTCGCCTGGGCTCCTTCTACCCTTCCTGGTTGGGTTCTGGGTATAGGAATGGCAGCGGACCAACAGTGCTGCTGAAGCAAGTGGTCATTAAAATAAAGGAACGTAAAGGCCGGAAGAGTAAATTGGTGATAGGTTCAGCACACATACCCCTTGCTGTGAGATAACCCACTGACCTAGAAGGAGGTGGGGGGAAGGGGATGATGGGGACTGTACATGTGCCATGCACACATGCAAGCACGCATGCACATACACACGCACACCTCCTAGGCTGTAGGCAGAAGGAGGTATTTCAGCAGGACCTCAAAGCCACTGACTTGAGTGAGGCTGGCTGTCAGGGTGAACGGGGAGGCCAGCTGTGCTATGGAAATAGTGTGGTGGGGTCTTCATTCCAAGCAGCGGACATGCTACCTATGCTCTCCAAGGAGTTGCCCTCACTTGTGAGCAGCTCTGAGTGCCAGTCAGGGACACGGTGGTTGTTCTCCATCTGTGGAGCTGACGGCTTTGCCACTTAATGCTCCAGACACCAGTGGTAACTTTGATCAGCACAAAAAGGTCATATATCCACAAGTGTGCAACTACCCCAAAGCCGCCCTCCCCACAGTACCTCCTAAGGGCCAGTAAAACTTGTTCCTGTTAAGTCAGCAAACAGAAAATGGGAACCAGCTCAGGCAATCAAATGTACCTACTGGGTGGTCCTTGGTTTCAAAAAACTCATTTTCTCAGGCAGTCATTAGAAGGAGTTACGTGAATAAACAAAAATGAATTCTAGCACTTTGTATAACCAGCAAGTATCACTATTTTAAAATATTGAGCCCTGCAGATCAATGCTCATTCAGTAGAACCTGTGGACCAGAAACAGAACACATACAGCTTTCCAAAGTCCTGCAACTCCAGACAACTAATGACTGGCACAGCACCTTCACTTTCCATGGCCCCCAAAGTGGGAAAGGAAGCCCAGCGACAGCCTACACAGCAGCCCAACTAGATGCACCACACTACTTGACTCCGCCCAGATTAGGCGGTAATGGGCAATCCAGGCCTAAAGTTCCAGTCCTAAAATGCAATCTCTCTTATAGACAATGCACTATGATTGTGGTGATGATATACGAACTTGTTAAAAACAATTCCAGCTTATGCACAATATATACAATTACCTTATATACAATATAGGTAACACACACATGCATGTATGTACAACAGAAGCTAAAATACACAATTACAGCCTAATAGTTTGAAACCACTAATGTCGACATTAGGAAATGGTTTTCCTAACTGTAACAGACAAATGCAATCTGCTAATAAGATGGAATGGAACCAGCAGCAGTCAAGACCACCTTTCTGAATGGTGTCTAAAGGCAAGGATGTGCCCAGAATTGGTCAGTGATGGCAAGTTTGTTCTAAGCACCTGAGTACTTGTAGCACGGTGAATACATTGTGGACAAACACAACAGCTCTTTGCATGGCAAACTTAAGGGAAACTGGAAGAGAATAAGGGTAACTCCCCATTCCCCAGGGCTTGTGTGCTGGGTCACCATGAGATCACCTGGGTGCCATGAGCTCATCTTGTAAGAAATTATGCACTCTATCAGCCTCAATTCTAAATGAATGTATCATTTTTACATCAACTAGAGTGAATAATATTGTTTACTAAGGAAACAAGTTTTTATGCTTTAGTTTTGTTATATAAAACAAAGGGTTGGGTCATGGCTGATATGGAGAGTAGAATTCCTCACACTACAGTCTGAAAATTAAGATTGTAAGGAATGAATGAAGAAATGCTGAAAGTAGAATTTAATCCCTCCCTACGAAAGAGGGGCATATGGAGGGCTCCTGAGCACAGAGACTCTCAATGGAAGCCACAAGCACCGTGACCACAATCCCAGAGCACATGCCGACCGGGTGGTGGAGAGACCAGTCACGGTGCGCCATGGCAGGGACGGGGCCCCTCAACAAGGGCGGTCCGGAGGCCCCTGGAGATGCTGAGTGCCCTGACCTGACCTGACCTCCAAAGGGAGGCTCCTCAAAGCACAGTAGCCTTTAGGAGCAGTGCTGCCGCCACAAGGCACAGTGGCGGCCACCATTCTGGAAGCCAGGCCTAGCCTGCTCTGGGCTCTCATCCCGGGGGAAGATTTGTACGTGAAGGCACAGAGACTTTGGTGTGGCCACCCATGACACACTCTGACCTCCTTAGTGCAGAACTTGCCCTGCACATGACCTGTGTTCTGCACACAGCATGCTAGTCCACATACTTGTGTCCTGCTGCTCTAGGGTGGTATCAAGTATCAGACACAGCAGCATGAAGTCGCAGTTCTGTCCACAGTCATGGCCCCAGTGACCTCTTATTCCCATCAGCACGAGGTGATATTGTCTTTGCCACTGCAGTCAGTATATGTACTAGAACCTCATTGTGGCTTTGATTCCTATTTGTCTGGTGACTAATAATGCATCTTTGCCTGTTTTTATTAGGTTGTGTATTTTCTCAGTATTCACTTCTGACAGCTCTCTTCATTTGGCAGAAATAAGTTCTTTTCAGATGTGTGCTTGTGCATATTTCCTCCTAGTTTGTGGGCTGCCTTTTCATTCTCTTCAGTGTCTTCTGCAAAGCAGAAGTTATCTTTTGTTTTATGGCCCATACCTTCAGTATTATAACTAAAAACTCACTGGCAACACATGCTCAAAAAGTTTTCAGCCAGGCATGGTGGTGTGTGCCTATTATTCCAGCTTTTAGTAGGCTGAGGCAGGAGGACCGCGGGAGTTTAAGACCAGCCTGGGCTACATAGTGAGACGCTGTTTCAAAAACAAAACAAAAACAAAAACAAAAAGATTTCCTCCATGTCTTCTTCTGTAAGCTTCAGTTTTAATTTAGGTCTGTAATCTATTTTGAGTTAGTTTGTGTCTGGAGCAAAGTATTAGTTAAGATTCTTTTTTTTTTTTGGCATTTGGACATTTAACTTGCAGCACCATTTGTAGGAAAGAATATTTAAGAGCTGTGTGTAGAAAAATACATAAAAAGACTTATAATTCAGGGAAACCTTCTGAGTCCTAAAAGAAGAAAAGAAATTTCCCCAAAAGATGTACTTGGCTGTGTGAAAATTAGTTTGTTTTTTGGCTTTTTGTTTTTTTTTTAAGGAAAAGAGACCACAAAGTCACAAACACTAGATTTGCAGGCAGATGGCACATGCAATGTGGTGTTCTATGTACAATGCTTCTATGAGCCCCTAAGACAACACATAATTTAATTGGGAGAAATATCTCCTGAATAAAACAAAACAACTAAAAATGAACAGTAAATGCAAAACAATACGAAGGGAATGAGAATTAAATTAATAGTCTAGTGTCACACCCCCTACCATGCTGCAAATAACCCTGCCAGTACGGGTGTGGGGAGCAAGCCCTAAGTTCTTGTTGTTGTTTTTTTTTGGTTTTTCTCCGGTACCGGGAACCGAACTCACGACCTTGCGCTTGCCAGGCAGGCGAAAATCTTAGTTTCTTTTTTTTTGTTGTTGTTTTTTGTTTTTTTTTTCCAGTACCGGGAATTGAACTCACGACCTCATGCTTGCCAGGCAGGCACTGTGCCGCTCAGCTAAATCCCCAGTCCGCAAGCCCTAAGTTCTGAGAGCGATGTGAAGTGGGATGGTCTTTGGGAAGTGAGTACTAACACTGAAAATACACATCTGCTGTGATCCCACAACCTCATCTGCAGGGTTCTGAAGGTGAGCATATTTCCCCAATGATGTCTGTCATTGAGTCAGGAAGCAGAGGCAGGTGCAGCCCAGGTCGTGACAGGGTGGAAAAGAAGCACTAAGATCCCCAGGTTATGTAAGTATGGAATTGGCAGAAGCCAATGATGACCTGGACATGGGACCAAGTGTTGGGACAACCTGTACCAAAATCTCAAATGTATTTTTTGGTATTTAGGCTTACAGAGCTATAAATCAATCTCACCTACCCTCCAAATTACTTCCAATTTTTACTCTTACTTTCCAGCAGCCTGGTCCAACTGCACTGAGTGGAAGGAACACCATAGCCTCGGGGCAACACAGACAGAGACACATGGGCGTGCTGGGGTGAGCACCGGTCTCTTGGTGGAGGGAGTACTTGCAGGGAAGATACCCCTGCCCAAGGACAGGATGCGAGCCTTGCCTGCACTCCACTCTGGGAAGGCTGGCCCTGGGCTATATCCTCAGGCTTTATCTTGAATGGCAGGGCATAGGAACTTCAGGTAGCTGGGCAGGGGAGATGAATGATTAGATGATTTTGTTTAGATGATTTTGTTTGGTGGTAACAAAAATAGAGATGTATTTAGAAACTATACAGATGGAACACTTAAGAAGGATAATCTGACAGTGTTTCATGTTAAAATGTCAGATGACCATCTAATTTCTATGAAAAATTTAACTGTTCATTCCACTGAAAATAATCAAAATAAAAACTATATTCTACTGAGCACTGTGTAGGAGGAGCCAGCCCCCAGGAAGCGGGCAGCATTAGGGAACCACAGTAATACACACACGCCACTGAGCACTGTTCAGAAAGAGCCAGGCCTTCCCAGGGAGCAGCAACACAGAACAAGATGCATGTGCATGCACTAACACATGCATACATAAACATGAGTGCAGGGAGAGCCACCATAGCCCTGACTTGCTCCTGCCTCTGCAGCCCCAGAAGTGTCTGTCTTCTCAGCAGCTGGTCAGCTGTCTCCTGGGGGTGCACTCTGGGAACGTGCTCATCAACAAATATCACACTCTTACTTTCCAGCAGCCTGGTCCAACTGCACAAGAGTGTGACTGGCGGTGAATTCCTGCTTTCCCTTGTAGGGGGCAATGAATC